GAAAGACTTCCTCTTTCAACTACCAGTGAGTTCTTCTGGTAGAAAGTCCTCATTACCAGCCTCACTGTAGCTAAAGAAAGCCACTCCTTATAGCCTGTATCCAGTGATGGTTAGACATAAAGGCACCAGGACTCAGCCAAGTCTCCCAGCTCAGCTCAACTTGGGGAAATCTACTTCCCATTGATGCAGTCATAGATTCAATTGTTTTCTGATCATTTCTGCTTCATTACCTTCCTTTACTTATGTTCAAATATCTGTAACATTCCCTTATAAATAATCTGCTTGATAATTCCTCTGCCAGAGGTGGTTATCCAGAGAAGCCACCCCAGGACACCCTCATACTTATTTTGGTACCTTTATCCTCTCTTGTCAATGCTCTATACCCTTGCGGTGACTTACAGAGGAACAAAGACTTGGGGAATATGTCATCTAGCTACTTCATTTAACAGAAAATGTTTTCAGTTTAAACAGTTTAGCCAACTAACCTTGCTGGTTAACGCCAGAGCTGAAACTAGTATCTTGGCTAATGAAATATTCTTTTTCCATTATACATCACATTATTTGAGATAATGTAGAGGCCTAAGGCCATATCTGGGGATGAATACAGAGCTCTCTTACCATCAGCAGAGTTGAAGGCTACCCTGGCTTTCAGTTTGTCTTCTAAAGCATGTGTGCATTTAATATTTTAAAATAGTGCTGGTTTTCTTTTCTTCATTAAGATATATAACTAGAGACATTGTTTGACTGAGTCCAACTACACTTTTGATGACATACTTACACTGAAAATTATCTCAAGGCAGATTCAACAGACTCTGATCTGGGATTCTATTGTTCTTAAACAGTAAAATAAAGCCTGGCAGTGGTGACCCATGTCTGTAACACCAGCACTCAGGAGGCAGAGGCAGGTGGTTCCCTGTGAGTTCCAGGCCAGCCTGGTTATAAAGCTAGCTCCAGGACAGTCAGGGCTGTCACATATAGTAACCCCCATCTTAAGAAACAAAAACAACAAAACAAGCAATAAGCATTTCAAATAATTTTTATAAATTATCTACCTTACAGTTGGAAAAACTTATCCTAATTCAGATCTTTGGTTAAGATGCAGAGCAAGCAAAAGCCAAGATTATTAGCAATGAAGATTCAAAAAGATAAAGGATGTAGAGCTATTTATTGTTCTGGGCCTGTGCAATATTTTTCTTGAAATAGATCTACTAGGCTCTACTCTGAATCTACAGTACTTTGTGTGGATGGATCTTGATTATGTTGTGACCACAGAGGATGATGATGAGCCATTATCTTCCCATTTGGATGAGCTCTTTGCAGTCAACCACTGTCCTTAACTCACCAGAGTACCTAGTAAGCACTCTTTGAAAGTTTGCCAAATACATAAAGGAGTCAATGAATATAGCTAGTGCTGTGGTCTCCTGACTCTTTCTTCAAGGCATCTTGTTCCACTGAAGTATTCCAGGTCCTGAGAATCCCAAGTAAGTCTGAGTTGAGAGCATCTTTCACAATTAGCTTGTGTTAGTGCTAGAAAGATAGTTCAGAAGTTAAGGGCATTTGCTGTTCTTACAGCAGACCAGGTTCAGATCTTAGCAACCATACATGGACACAACCTTCTATAACCCACAATTCCGGATCAGATGTCCTCCTCTGGTCTCTTCAGGCACCAGGTGTGCACATAGTGCACATACATACATGGAGGCAAGCACTCATACACATGAAATCAGATAAATCAATGTCTTTTCAAGTATTATCTTGATTTATCTTCACACTTAACATACTAGGAAAGGAAATCAGAAGTCCTAAGAGATGGAAGGGCTATGACCTCATATCAAAAGACATGTTTTCTTTTATAAATCCCTAACTCTATCATCTCCAACAAGTAAGTAAGCTCAGGTTTATTCTGAGGTTTTAAGTCTAATCCATTGAAATCTGTAGACTCAGGCCAGAGAAACAAGTTCTGAAGTTCCACACATAGTCCCAACTTTTCCAAATAAGGGCCTTCCAGGCACATTGGTGCTTCACTGAGTGCTACGAGATGGAGTGCAGCTGGTTGTTCACCACATGTCTCATTAAATATGGAGTTAATCTGATCAGAGGTGCAGCCTAGCTGAGGCTGACTATATTTCCTTAGGGGTTTTGCTGTCCCTGAAGGGGAGGGGAGAGAAGATGCAGATGAGAAATTGAAGTACTTTCACTGAGGCATGCCCAGATTTGCAATTCAATGGCAAGTAAGGGGAGGTGGGGGGCTACTCAGCTGAAGCTTAATGCCACTAGGTCACTGGGGTTCTTTTTAGCTGCAGTGACTGCTTAAAGGGATAAAGGGTCAGGGATCTAGGGCACAGTAAGAAGCATCAAATGTATTCTCTGTCATTATGGAGAGAGGGGCCTTCTGGGAAAAACTGACAATTGCATCACCAATTTGATTTGCAGAGTGGCTAGGTGAGCTGAGGTAATTCTATGCACTGTGACTTATTTATTTATTTATTCATTCATTTATTTATTTACAAACACCTCTACTTCCATTACTGTTGCTATGGCTGCTTTCATTAAACAGGATATCAAATTCAAGTCAAGGAGAACTGAAAACTTGGAAAAAATGTCATCAATCTTGTTGTTTTGATTTTTTTGTGATGTTTCCAGAAGTGTGCTATGCATAAAATGTATTTTTTTACTGTTAGGATTGATAACTCAGCTCTGAGGAGTTCAAAAGAGAATGGCAGAGGAGAACTAGCAGTAGACCCTGAAGGTAAAGATAGGAACACAGCTGAGCTTAAAATAGAGCAGAGGTAGCAGAGGCCAGGCACCCTGTGGGAATGCATCAGCGTTAGAAATGAGAAAATCAGAAAATAAAAGATGAGACAGAAGCAGTAGAGAATTATCAAGAAGCCTCCTTTTAAGGTGAGAAACAATTTAGAGATAATTTACATCCAAATTGCTGTTTGATAAAGAATGGAAGGGTATCACTTGATTATTAAGATGGAAAGACATTTTTTTGCATTAGATCAAATGTATATCTGATCATAATGGGAGCAACCAATGTTAAAGTGCTTCTCTCCAGAATGTTTTAATCCTGTAAGGGCCAAATGGCATGAATCATGGTTATCTCATTTGACTTAGGCAAGATACAATACCTGAATATCCTATCCACATCTATGTAAATGCCACAAAGAAGATATAATAAACTTAAGTATACCTATCATTTGAATACCCCTTTACATTCTTCAAAATGCTTCCTTGGACTTCAGAAGACTGCCTGTAGGAACTAAAACAAATATAGTAATACTATTATGTTCATTTTTTTCTCACTTTATCTGTTTCTATTCTATCACATAAATGGGTGGAGAAAAGCTAAACATGTTATCTTAGGATTCATAATTATTAATTAGTTTGGTAGCATTAGTTTCCTTGTAGCAGAAATTCCAAAGTTCCATTGTAGACCCATGCTTTAGGTTTCCAAACCAGGTTCTATGCCTAATGGAGAGTTTGTCTGCCACACCAGCTCAACCTGAGAAATGAGGCCTCTCAGGGCATCTGTCTACTGTCACTATTGATCTGTTCAAACATATCACTGCAATTAAATACAGCCATCCAAGCTAAAAAGGACTATTAGTGTTCCAGTCCAAGAGTCACAGTACAACTACCAGCATGTTGAATTGGTCAAAATAGAATACATTGTACAATCAACTGACTGGTTCTGATGAAAAGAGAGAGAGCAACAAAGAGAGGAAGGAATGCTATCCTCCCATTATTTCAATTTCATATACTACTAAATAGAACAGATTTCCAGAAAAATCAATGTAAAGAGTTATCTGCCTCTGAACCATGCAGAAAGACTCCTGTTACTTTTAGAAACATTATAGAACTCTTCTGTAAGGAAACTCTCTTTAGATCCTTTCTTCCTCAGCCTTTTTATTGCTGTGAAGAGACACCATGACCATAGCAACTCTAATAAAGTAAAACATTTAATTGAGGCTGGCTTATAGTTTCAGAGGTTCAGTCCATTATTATCATGGCAGGAAGCATGGTGGCATGCAGGCAGATGTGGTTCTGGCTACATCTTGGCTTGCAGGCAACAATAAGTTAACTGAGACACAGGGCAGTATCCTGAGCATAGGAAACCTCAAAAAAGTGACACACTTCCTCCAAAAAGGTCATATTCACTACAATAAAGCCACACCTCCTAATAGTGCCACTCCCTATGAGATTCTGGGGGGCCAATTACGTTCAAACTACCATAGATCCTTAGTGTACATATACACAAAGAAAGTACTTAATAAATTTCTAAATATATGGTAAATTTGTTGAATATTGGTTTCATATTTATTTTATATATATATGAGAGCAGTTTATATAACAGAGTTCATAGTATTCCACTATTTGAAGATTATGTATAATTCTCTAACTAGAAAATAACATCATTCAACTAAAGAGAAAGAGGGGATATCTAGATTCTTGGTTAATGTTATAATTTTATAACTAAATGCTCAACAGTATAGACATAATTTGGTTCATTAAGTTTACAGGGCCAGTTCTGGCAACACTAAGGTGCCTGGTTGTTCAGTATTACTACCACTATTCCTCAGTGTCCATGTGAGAGGTTCAAACTACTCCAAAGTCACTTCTTGCTCTAAGAGCATGGTTTTGAGAGCTAGAAGGTACTGTGGAAATATTGTCTTTAATAAGCTGGTCATGTTATTTGTTATTCAAATTAAAACATCTTTGTAGGAAAAATAGAATGCTACTGATAATTATTTTCAGACAGAAGTATAAATCAGAAGTTTAAGTGTTGTGTGTTACGTGATGACCTTGTGTTGGTTTGAATGAGAATGGTCCCCATAGGCTCATATATTTAAATGTTTGGCTCCTGGTTTGTGGGACTATTTTTGAAGGATTAGAAGATGAGTTCTTGTTGGAAGAAGTGTGTTTAGAGTAGTGGGCATTGAGGTTTCAAACGCCACACCATTCTCATCCTCTCTTTCTCTGCCTTGTGCCTGTAGACCAGATGTAAGCTCTCAGCTACTCCTCCAGAACCATGACTGTCTGCCTGCTGCTTTGCTCTCAACCATGATAGTCATAGATTCACCCTCTGAAAGTGTAAGCAAATCTCAATTCAATGGTTTCTTTTATGAGTTGCTTTGGTTATGGTGTCTGTTCAAGGCGACAGGGAAGTAAGTAGGGCAATATTGTTCTTAAAAGACAATAGATTTCAGACTCTCATTGAAATCTCAAATTTTTATTTTCCAGTTCCTAATATTTCTGAGAGTAAGAAAAAGATGAAACTAAATTAAATGAGCTAAAGCCTGTGAGCGCTGCTATCCTCCCAACAGTCTGTGACATTATTTGGAAGGAATAAGTTTTAATCAATTCAGTGTTCCTGTTAAATGACTGAGACCAAGATTAAAACATAAAAAGGACTTCAGAATATCATAAAATAAAACAAGATGTAGAGAACAAAAAACATTGGAAAGAAAAAAATTCTGTATAGAAAAGAGAAGAATGGAGATCTTATCCATGAGGGTTACTCTCTAGTCATGTGATACCCTCAGAAATAGTATTTAAGTGAATAGTGCCATAAAAATCAGAGGCAGAAAAGTGAAAAAAAATAATAACATTTATATAACATTATCAAAGCAAACATCATCCTTCTCTATGGCTAGAAAAATGCTGAAATGTAAGGATCCTTATCAGATGTCACTTTCATATTCCTGGCTTTGGGTTGGTAAATTTCCAGCCATGATAATGCATATTTATAGGAGTCTGGGAGTTAAATAAATATAATGTGAGATAGACAATTCTCTGTGGTATGCTTTCTGCAATGAATAAAGAAGCTAACTAAAATAATTAGTCACTGCTGGGATGAAGCTTTGCTCATAGAATAATAATAGGATTAGCTTCTAAATATCACACAGTGACACACTGTACAAAGACAAAGATACATCATTTGGTCCTCTAGTGCCTTGAGACAAAGGAATTTCATTACTGTCCCAGTCTTAAGAATAAGATAACTGTGGATCACAGGCATTAAATAATTTTGTTGTTAGTTCACATTTACTGGAGAAATTAGAACTAGAACCCACTACTCATCTCCTACTTCGTTTTTAATTCACTGTTCATTGTACTTGAATACCAAGAAAGAGCAGTTGACCTTGAGAAAGTTACAGTGTTGGTAACTTCTGAGCACTCATTTATCCAAAGTCCATCTGTTCAGCTTTCATAATCCCCTTCCCAACTTAGGGGCCATCTATCTCACTCATCCCTACCCCATTCACCAACTGACCTGCCATGCTCTCTGAAAATTGCTACTGTGTTTTACCTTTGGAGTAACCAAATTCAATTACAGGTTCTGCCTTTGTGTTTCCTCAGCCTTTTTTCCTGCACAAATTGATGGTGACAGCAGCGATACCAATTCAATTACATACCATCTTCTGGTTCCCAGTAATGATTCAGAGTAGGTCAACAAGGACCAGATTGGAACAAGAATGACCATGAATTAAAAGGAAAGAATAAGCAACAAAAGCCTGAGTTATAATCTATTTTCACTTCTGGGGAAATTTTAAGCCATATTATCTTAAACATAAGCAGGGTAAGTAATAGTATATTGGTATATATCAAGATTTATGGACAAGAACAAAATATTTAAAAAGTCATATGTCCAAGATGAGCAAAAACGTGTCTAAAATCAAAAGGCTACCAATCAACTAGTCAGAGAAGAATAAAAAACTTTTGACATTTCAATTCATTTGGCCAATGTTTATGTATGTGCTATCATCATGCAACAATGCAAGTTAATTCTGGAAACACTGAAGATGAAGTTAAAAAGTGTTTGTAATTAGGACAGGCATGTACTACTTAGGAGTAAGGGGATGGAGAGACTTCTAAAGAGATAACATTTGAAAAAAAAGAATCACACATATATAACTCACACACACTAAATTTATCAAAGGCCAAACAAATGAATGTGGTTATTTAGTGTATGTATATTTCTATCATGGGCCTCAATGTTTGTGCTTTTATAGCTTATCCAGTGTAATGGTTTGTGTTGTGTGTCAACAGACTCTAGAACTATTTAGGAGACAAGTCTTTGGAGAAGCCTGTGGAACATCATTTTCTTGATTATGGTTAATTGAGTCTAAGAGGCTTACCTACTGTGGGAGACACCATTCCCTGGCTGGAATCCTGGACTGTATAAACCAGAGAAGAGGAATTGATCACCAGTATGCATTCTTTATCCTCTGCTTCTTGACTGCAGATGTAACTGGACCAACTGTTTGAAGCTCTATCTCCCTTAAATTGTTAGCCAGAATAAAGTTGCTTTTGTCAGAAAATTCAAAAACCAAAAGGTATAGAAATAAAAAGCCAGCACGGAACAATCTAATCTAAAGAGGAAACAGAACCTCCAAAAAGAAAACATGAGAGCAGTAAGAAGTAGGAGAGCAACTTTCTTACAAATATTGAGAAAGCTGAAACTTTACAATGAGCAAGGAAGTTAATGGTATCAGATTCAGTCTAGAAATGTGTGAGGCCCAAAAGTAAGAACGTCTAGGAGATGTATTACTCAACAGTGGAGGGACGTTCATCATCTTCCATGTGTATATGGCGTATATGTTTGAGTTTTGTATCAAGTCTGAATCTTTTATTTATACAAAAAGCTGAATTGTAGGAAGAGACCAAGTACCTGCAGCTGTGGAAAGATTGCGGGGCTAAGAGAAGGAGCAGGTGAGCATTTGCTCTCTCTTGGATGTTTGCTGTGCTTTAGAGGGCAGAGCATTTCCAATGTAAGTGGTTGCCCCTTTAATAAATATCCTTCTCTCCCCATTGCATTGTTTCCTTATCAAAAGTCCAAGGCACAGGGAGCGTAAAGCGTGGCTATGGGGCTAGGTAGGAAATTAACAATGAAGATGCTAGGGTATAGGGAGCATAAACAAGTTGTTGTGGGGATAAGAAGCCGGTGCTTTCCCTGTAACACTGTGACAACACTCTGAGTCAAGAGTCTAGAACTAGGTTTTAGCAGAGAGGAAGAACATATCTCCTATTCAAAAATTTAAATAATGGAAGTAGGGGATGGTAAAAATATATATTCAGGGTGAAGATGTCTGCTGCAAGTGGTTGGTTGATTGAATGACTGACTGACTGGTTAGTAAAACAGAATAAAGATAATTAGGTACAGTACAGAGGCAAGAACACAGATTGTTCTACATTACTGAGACCATCCTCCATGCATTGTAAGGGTGAAAGGCATTAGGCATAAGAGGCTAGTGTTTATTGTTAAGAGAAAAGTTGAAAGCCTGGAAATAATAGAGACTAAGAACAATTTATGAGAACAAAATCCAAAGAAGGGAAGAATCTGAACTGGAAACTACATATCAAAGTCTAAGTACACAATCATTTCATAAGAGTTAGGGACTAAGCCATTTATTATAAAATCTCAATCACATGGATGGCGAAATCTTGTAAAGGATTAATCACAAGCAATAAAATTAACCCTCCCCCAACAAACAAGGAAAAAGACAATTATAAATCACTTCTCAGACTCATAAGTAGAAAGGTTTACTGCTTTACTGAATAGGAAAGAAAATAACACAATCAAACTAAAACACCTTATTGAAGATAGTACCATGGGATAGTGGACTGGAAGAGACCACAGGGGAAGCAAAGATAAAATAATATCTTTCTTCTCCTGGCCCTGAAAGAGAAGGTAGGAGAAGCAATTTGTTTTCACTGGAAGCTTAGGAGAGAAATGGTTTCCTGGAAGAAAATTCTAAATCACTCATGGAATTTTTGAAGGAAGGTTTGAAGACAAAAGGAAATTTACAACCAAAGGAAGGTTCTTCTTGAGGCATAGACAGAACACAAGACATGATGTTCAGAGGTCACAGCTGAACCAAATAAGGAGGCTGATGTTATTTTAGGAAGAAGATTTGCATGCAGAGTTAAGTTGAGCACAAAAATGAGAGAGCAGGTACAGGAGGCATATAAGAGGGATTTCTTAAGCAATAGAGAACAGAAAATGCCAAGCAGATAGTGATTTATGCAGGCAATTGCAGAACAAAATAGCCCTGTGTTTTAATAGAAGAGTAAGTCAACAGGACAAGGAAGGAATGCTGCTTCATAAAATCGCCCTTTCAAGAAGTTTATTGTACTGCTAAGGATTCTCAGTTCCTGAGAAGAGTGTGTGTGTTGTGTGTGTGTGTGTGTGTGTGTGTGTGTGTGTGTGTGTGTAGCCACAATATATGTGTTTAGGTATATACATAGATTCACACGGCTGTTTAATATATCAGAATGTACAAGACAATTTTTTAGCTTAGGTTTATTTCAAATTATATCCAGTCAATATTTTCCTTCTTTGCTGTGCATGATGACTCACTCCTATAACTCCAGAACCCAGTAGGCTTCCTTAAGAGGACTGTCCTGAGTTAGAAGCCAACCAGGGCTACACAATGAGTTTCAAGATGTTAAAACCTACACAGCATGATGCTGCCTCAAAACAACAAAATCCTTTCATTCATTGAACTTGTGACACCTACCACTTTCTTTATGCTTTCTGCCTGTTCATCCTTTGTGTTCCTCCCTGTTGTATAAGCTAAGTGAAGGTAGAATCTTTGATAAATTCACTGCTCAGTCCTCAGGATCTAGACAGACATCCAAGGATTGAATCAGTAGCTACATATACATTAATAGTACTCAAACAGTAGGTGATAGTCATTTTAAGAGATACATTAGATGTATACAAAGTTTATAGAAATTCTTATGAACTAGAAAGAGAGCACAGCAATGTATTGCTATAGAGATAGCAAATAGTAAATGGAGATAAAGATCAATCTTGCTTTAGTTGGGAGCATCAAACATAAAATTACAGACTAGAAAACTAGTCTCCCAAGCTCTGTGTTCTTCTCTGAAGAGATCTGTCCACAAGAATAAAAATAAAACTAATTGTTTATTTTTCAGAATAGGTTTTTAAGTGCACATAGGAATTGTATACACAATAGTACAAATATAAAATTCTGAATAAAAAGTTAGCACACTTAAACCTGTGCTCCATATTCTTAACTTTTGGTGCATGCATTATGCAACCGAAATTATCTTTTAGAATCTTTTAGTAGATAAAAACCTTAAGCTCTATCTTAAAAGATAATCAAGAATATGCCTCCTAAACAGAAGCAATGCAACACATTACAGAACAAAGATAGAAATCTCAATCTATGGCAAGTAAGAGATTAATCTGCAAATTAGAAGATACTTTATCAGCCTGGGCAGGGTAATGAACACAAGGATTCCAGAGGAAATGAACTAGAAAGCTGCATTTTGGGGAAAGAATTATAAGCAAAGGAATGGCAAGATGAAAGGGATTTTTTGTTGTTTTGTTCTTTAATTAGACTATTCACCTAGTAGAGGGTGAATTGGTAGGGTATACAACTGGAGACTTGAGCAGCAGTTAGGAAGTACTTTCATACTTTCCAGGATGACAAGAGTCTAAACTAGGGTTGGATCATAGTGTGTGGAGGAGAGGAGACACAGTTGGGAATGTTAAATGAGTTTCATTTGGTCTAGAGTTGCCTCCATAGACAAATTTGTCCTAAATATTTCTCCATACATAATGAACTATACGCTAACTTGGTGTGTTAACAGACTGTAAGGTATTCTTATACCAATTATCTGAAACTCACCCAATCAAATTAGCCAACCTTCAGCCAACCAGAGGCAGCCAACTGTTCAAATCAGGTTCAAACAAGGCTAACATTAAACTTTAACCAATCAAACTATCTCAGTACCTCACTTCCACTTTCCATATGTCATTTCCTCTTCTCTGACTATAAATACAATCTGTCCATGTGGCAGGGTGGAGCATCCGAAACCATTTTTGGCCCAGACGGCTGCCCAATTTTTAAATCTCAATTAAAAGCCAATTAAGATCTGTAAAGCTGAACTTTTTTTTTTTGCAATTTTCTCTTTTAGCAAAACATATTTTGAGGTAAAATCAGTAAGCCTTGGTGACAATTGCACATGGGTTTCATATCTTAAATACAACTGTGAGAACAGAAGACCTGAAATAATTGTGACAAGGAAATGTTACTTCTTTTACACAGTACAGGAGTCAGTTTTCAACACTGGCTTTCCTCTCAGAGGGATGCAACTTCTTCTACCTCTTCACTGCTGGGGACTTGCATCTCCTGAGTTACATCACTGCAAGAATCCTACATCACTGCAAGCGTCCACGCCCCTATGGTACAGGCGGGAGGGCAAATGAAAGGTGAGCATGGGGTGTGCTCAGGATTTTAGAGAATCTTCCTTCAAGACTTGCACCTATATTTCATCAGTGTTGTCTGACACTATTCCCTTCCCCAGGAGGCATGAACAGATGTCTACTCACCCCAGAAAGAGAAGTGTCGACTAACTAGGATACCACAAAAATCCAAGTTGGTGAACTAATGAATTTTATTGAGGGCTACTTACGGATGTGGAGTTATTCACGAGAACAGAAATGGCCCAAAGATGCTGCAACACCAAAAGCTAGCATGGGTGACAAACTCACAAAAGCTGGCATTCTGGAGCACACTGCACAGCCCAAAGGCAGTGCAACCCGTTGAAAAGCGTCTTTTCCAGGCAGCTAGCTCAGTTGGTCTGAGCCTCTTCCAGGCAGCCCAGCTGGTCTCTGCCTCTCCTAGGCAGCTTTGGTGGTTTCTGCCTCTTCCAGGCAGTTCAGCCTGTCTGAAATTATCTCTGTAGATCTTACTTTTACAAAACCCTGAGGAGGGAGGAACTTAGCACATCTGGTCAGTTTTTCGAATTTCTTAAAGCTTTTTGGTAGTTTACTTCCTGAGTCTTAGTGAACCCCCCCTTTTAGAAAATCAAGTCTTGTGCCAGGTGAGTGATGTGTGCCTTTAATCCCAGTGTTTGGGGGACAGAGGCAGATGGATCTCTGTGAGTTCAAGGCCAGCCTGGTCTACATAGTGACTTCCAAGACAGCCAAAACTACATGGGGGACACTGTCTCAAAAAGAATACCTTGAGACTTAAGGAACTTCCCTCCAAGACTGATTGTTTTATCTGAAGGGAAATTGTCACCCAACACCCAGATAGCCCTCGTTCTAAGGAAAGTTGTCAAACGCAAAGTTTATCCTAAGTCCTAGAAGAACCATTTTGCCTTCTTACATTTGAAGCAGAAAAGTAAATATTAGACGGCAGCTAATATCTCCATTGGGAATAAAGAAAGAATACTCTAAAAACACAGAAATGACACAGGCTCTCAGAATGCTCTATGCAGCAGTACCGACAGTGACAGTGGATGAACCCTACCAGGGAGCTCAAGGCTGGGCATCTGGATTCTGGAGCCAGCTCTGGGTCAGGTTCCTGGAGCCCAGACCTGGCTCTGCGTGCCTGGCCGTAGTGGAAAGAACTGTAAGGGCTCCATCATTTAGCAACACACCAGGTGCTGCTGGAAACCAAATTGAAGGCTGAACCATCCTTGGCAGAACAAGTAACCAATGAGGGCTTGGAAATTTGAAATTGAGACATTCTCAACATGCCAAATCTCCTTTCTCTGTCATAGCCAAGTCTCACCAAAGTACTGCAGGGATGGTCCAGGCTGCACGAGAGTGGAAGTAGGCACTAGCTGACTCCATGGAAATTCACCAACAGCTCAGCAACACCTTACAGAGCTCCAAAGAAAGAGTAAGGGACTCTAAAGTTAGGAAACTCACACTGCACTGCATGTCCTTCAGCCCATGCTAAAGTCCTGCGGAGCAACAGACCCTTTAGAAACACAAGTATGCTATGCGGCAGACCAGGTACCATGTTGCTGCTTCCGGTTCAGAGAGCATCAGACTCCCAAGCCACACAGACTGTGGAGATAGCGAAGTGAGTTAAGGAAGTCTGAGCCAGATCCAGAACGCCAGGAACCCTGACATTAGCTAGGAGGGGCTACATGGGTCACAGGGAGTTTATAATAGAACCAGGTACAGTGTTCCCAGAACAGAACTGATCTAAATGCAGGGGTTTGGTTCTCTGTCCGGAAGAAGCATTGGCTGAAAACGTAAACCTGTTTTAGTTTATTGACCATACCACGTTTAGTTTACTACTCATTTGTGTTTAGTTTTTAAATGTTTAATTTTTACTTTTACTTTCTTTTCCATATTTTAATCTACTCTGAAAATATCAAATTCAGTAGTATCTTTGAAAAATACACGTGTAAGCATGTGTATATGTTTTTAATTATCCACCTCCATGCCCTCCCCTCCAATTTCTCCCAACACCCTCCTGCTATGTATGTTTTCTTCCCTACTTCATGAACTCTTTTTGGACCCACCAAGACTACATCCCTAAAAGAAACTGACTCACCTGTCCTCATCAACCACCATCTCCTAGTAGTTTCCTAGGCAGGAGTGTGAGCTTTATCCCATCAATGATGGAATTCTGACTGACTGGATCTTGTGATAAAGCTCACACTCAGGCTTAGGCAACTACAGTACAAACAATGGCCCCACCATACCCAGAAAACAGTGTTTCTCAGCAGTGTGATGAAATCTCTGGCTCCTACAATCTTTCCTCTCCCTCTTCTACAATGGTCCTTGAATCATTGGGGAAAGGGACTGTGATATAGATGTCTCATTTATGGATAAACAATTCACAATCACTTACTCTCTGCACTTTGACAGATCTGAGTCTCTATCAGTTTCTGTCTACTGTGTCTTAGGATTAGTATTGCTGTGATAAAACACCATGACCAAACAACTAAAGGAGACAGATTAGGTTTATTTGCCTTACACTTCAATACCACTGTTTAACATTGAAGAAAGTCAGGACAGGGACTCAAATAGGGCAAGGACCTGGAGGCAGGAGATGATGCAGAGGCGACAGAGGGCTGCTTCTTACTGGTTTGTTTCCCATGACTTGCTCAGCCTGCTTTCTTCTAGAACCCAGGACCACCATCCCAGGGATGGCACCACCCACAATGGGCTGGGTCCATCCCCTATCAATCATTTATTAAGAAAATGGCCTACAGCTGGATCTTATGGTGGTATTTTCTAAACTGAGATTCCCTCCTTTCAGATTACTCTAGCTTGTGTCAAGATGACATAAAATTAGCCAGCACACACTGCAAAAAGAATGTTCTCTGATGAGGGTTGATAGTTGCCTTAATCTATGGGTTTAAAAATAAGTGTTTAGAGACAATTTGTTATGCTCATTAGGTCAAAATAGTGCTAGTAGACTCTCCATTAGAGTCAATGGACTTTCCTGGGTATGTGTTCACGTTGAGGTTTATAATATTAGATTTGAGTTGCATTCTATGTAGTAAATCTTAAATATGAGTCACAGAACATACAGAAATCACTCTAGTACTGACCTGGAAGCTTGCTCCCTACTAGCTAGCTTTCCTAGAGCCAGAATCTGCACAAAAATAGACAGGTAGACAAATGGAATCAAATTGAAGACCCTGACATTAACCCACACACCTAAAAACACCTGATCTTTGACAAAGAAGCTAAAATTATACAATAGAAAAAAGAAAGCAACTTCAAGAAATGGTGCTAGCATAATTGAATGCTGGCATTTAGAAGACTGCAGATAGATCCATGTCTATTATCATGCACAAAACTTAAGTCCAAATGGATCAAAGACCTCAACATAAATCCAAGAACACTGAAGCTCTTAGAAGACAAAGTTGAAGGTACCCTTGAATGAACTGGAACAGGAGACTGTTTCCTGAACATAACACCAATAGCAAAGACACTGAGATCAACAATTAATAAATGGGACCTCCTGAAACTGAGAAGCTTCTGTAAGACTTTCATCAACCCCACATCTGACAGAGGACTGATTTCCAAAATATACAAAGAGTTCAAGAAGTTAATCACCCAAACACCAAACAATCCTATTAAAAAGTGGGGTACAGAACTAAATAGAAAATTCTCAATAGAGGAATCCAAAATGGCTGAAAGACACTTAAGAAAGTGCTTAACATTCTCAGCCATCAGGGAAATGCAAACCAAAACTCTGAGATACCATCTCACTCCCCTCAGAATAGCTAAAATCAAAAACACCGATGACAGTTTTTTGCTGGAAAGGATGTGGAAAAAGGGGAACACTCCTCCACTGCTGGTGGAAGTGCAAACTCATACAGCCACTTTGGAAATCAGTATGGCTGTTCCTCAGGAAATTGGGAATCAGTCTACCTCAAGATCCAGCAATTCCACACTTAGACATATACCCAAAAGATGCACATTCATACAACAAGGACATCTGTTCAATTATGTTCGTAGCAGCATTATTTGTAATAGGCAGAACCTGGAAGCAAGCTAGATGCCCCTCAACTGAAGAATGGATAAAGAAAATGTGGTACATTTACACAATGGAGTACTACTCAGCAGGAAAAAAAATGGAATCTTGAAATTTGCATGCAAATGGATGGCACTAGAAAAAACCATCCTGAGTGAGGTAACCCAGTAACAAAAAGACAAACATGGTATGTACTCACTCATATAGGGATGTTAGACATAGACCAAAGAATTACCAGCCTACAATCCACATCTCCAGAGAAACTAGGAAACAAAGATGACCCTAAGAATAACATATATGGTCTTCCAGAGAAGGGGAAAGGGCCAAGATCTCCTTAGCAAATAGGAAGCACGGGGATGAGGGATGAGTTAGGAGAAAGAGAAGGGGAGAAGAGGAGAGGAAGATACTAGGGACCAGGAAGACTGAGTCAGGAGAAGAATAGAGGAGAGCAAGAAAATGGATACCATAATAGAGGAAGCCAATATAGGTTTAAAGGGAAATCTGGCCCTAGGGAAATGTTCAGAGATATACTAGGATGACCCCTAACTAAGAATCTGTAAGGCAAATGACACAGACAACAAGACAAAACAGCAGCCCACAGAATGGGAAAAGACTCTCACCAACCCCACATCTGACAGAGGCAATAATGAGATTGATGAGATTGATGGCTACCTTATATACCATTATAGAGCCTTCATCCAGTAGCTGATAGAAACAGAAGCAGAGACCCACAGTTAAGCACTGAGTCCAATTCCTGGAATCCAGTTGTAGAGAGGGAGGAGTGATGAGCAAAGAATCAAGACCATGCTGGGGAAACCCACAGAAACAGCTGACCTGAACAAGTGGAGTTCATGGACACCAGACTGACAGCTTGGAAACCAGAATAGGACTGAACCAGGCCCCATGAACATGGATGCCATTTACAAGGCCTGGACAGTCTATGGGGGCCCCTGGTA